AATTTTTTAAGCGTAGCTTATATGCGGCACAAGTCCGAAAGAATGGGGTAACCAGTGAGGATCGAACTCACTACTCATTCGTAATTGTGCTAGCGAGACAAGCTTGCTAACAATTACACCGCCTCGGGGTGCCCTATGCTATAGCGTTGTATACCGTGGTAGATTGCATACTATAGTAGTAAATGAGGTAGATCGATTTAACATGCGGTTTGATACCGTGAAGACCGCATACTTTAGTAGCACCCACATTTTATAGCTGAAATATCAGCCGGCTTCTGATTTAGAGTGGACCGTTTCTCTATTTTGTCACGGTCACACTATATCATCTCAAGGTCCTGGAGTCCCTATATATCCGATCCCGTAAGCCTTCTCTTTGTAAATAGAAATAAAGGATTTGATTGGTGGGTTTGAAAATTATTGGTCTCTAGTTTTCTTTGAAATATCCCCCACACTTTGGGCATCCTATAAATTAATTTACACGTTTGTCTTTAATTCCCAGAATAAAACTTGATTAGCTAGGAAGAAAACGGTTGTTTTTAGTAATTAAATTTATACCAATATACCTTGTAATTTAAAATTAAATAAGAAATTATGCTTGTTCTTTGTTAATATATATATAAAATATATATATATATATATATATATATATATATATATATATATATATGTGTGTGTGTGTATATATATATATGTGTGTGTGTGTTTGTATATATGTATACATATATATGTATGTATGTATGTATATATATATATATATATATATATATATTAAATATATATATTAAATTTTAAAACTCTCTCTTCCCTCTCTAAACTCGACCATGTCTCTCACATTATTCCACACCACCTTCTATGTGAACTCATATAAGCTTAATACTGCCCGTCAAAAGTGTAAATTTTAAATTCTTTTTTCGTTTCACCCTTTTGAAAGTTAAGTCTGAAGATCCAGAGAAAAATAAAATTCTCTGGTGAAATAAATTATAACTAATTGAGCCTTAAAGTGGTCTGTTTTTCTTTAAATTAACACACACACACACACACACACACACACACACACACACACACACACACACACACACATATATATATATATATATATCAAGAAAAAATTAAGGTTTTGCTTGATCCTTTTGGGTTATAATTTATTTCGTGAATATTTCTATATATTCATCTCTTCAAGCCGAAACTTCTTAAGAAAGGGAGACAATTTCTCTGCTATATTAGATTAACAGGAGGAAAGGAAGGCAAGATCGTGTGGAATGAGGGAAAAGACATATCAGAGATGCTGCTTCGTTTTAGCGAGAAACAGAAACAGGTGCTCGGTGTCTATTTCAGTGAAATTGAAAAAGTTGTCAATTTAAAAATATTTTCATTTATACCCCCTTACTTTTTAAAATAATGACCAGCATTCAAATTTATGAGTGTTATTGCAATATTTTGTTTTTAAGCTCAATTAATTGACAACGAGACAAGGGAATTTCTACGGATATTCTATTGTCGCATGGCTCGCCATCGGCTTATTCACTCATTAGTTGAAGAAAAGAAATTATTATTTAATAATATTCAAATAATGCATTTGGAAATTTCAAATAGGAATTCTGTGAAATAGGCAAGACAAAAATTTACAAGGATTTATTCCAGTAAAACATTAGCCGTAAGGAGATATGCTACCAAAATCAAAAATCCACTGATGTTATTATATACAGATTTTTTTATATGAATTATTATGCATAAAAAGTATGCATATTATATGCATATGATATGCCAATATATTATTGACATATTTGAATCATTATGTCATTCGCCATATATACACATATATTCTTAGGAATATACACATATATAACAATACTATAACATAATTAAAAATACACACACACACACACACACGCATGTATATATATATATATATATATATATATATATATATATATATATATATAATAATAATATTTTGTTTAAAAATATGATTCCTTCGCTACATAAGAGTTCTCATGTTTCAAAAACGAGAGCGGAAACCATCCAAATAATTATTAAAATTAAGTTGAATTGAGGTGTTTAGTCCTGTTTCATCCTCAAGCGAAATTTTAGTCGTCAAAAAACAAAAAAAGCAAATTGAAATTCAGTGCAATACGATTTGTATAAACAAATAAATAAATAGATAATCAGATGGACAATAATAAAAGACAATTCTCCAGACACATAGCGACTTGTAGGCGCGTCATAAAAATATCCCTCACTGGGAACCAACTAAGGGGTGACCGCAAACATTAGCCTTGAAATAGATACCCTACCCAACCTTAGCAAAACCTCTCAGAAGATGATGAATCTATTGATAAGAATTAACTCTCTGACAACTTAACGAAGAAAAATAGTCTAGCCACTCCCACAATAACGAGTGTTACAACGAACCATGCCTAAAAACACACGTAAACCGAGAGATAGCTTATTCCTAAAATTTCGGGAAAATAAATTAAGAATACAACTAACAGCAAAATGGTGAGACCCTGTTGCGAATTTAGTATCACGCATAACTTCATGTAGTCGAAGCACTAGGAAGAAAAAAAAGCTCATCAGAACAGTTGCTATGGAAAATATTTATAGAAAAGGGAAGCCATGTCATGTCGGTGGAGATGTGAATGAAGTTGAGATGCCAGAACAGGACCGATTACATCTCGTTTTACTGCCTTGGCTACTTCGATAATTAACATGTAAGGTTTATTACGATAGTATTTACAATGGTGAAAGGTTACATGCATGAAATAACAGACTAATTGATTTGAAATGCAAGATAACATTTATTAAACAAAATCAACAAAAGCAAAGTTTATGACAAGGGATTCTTTTCCTAGAAGTAAATTGCATAGACAACAAATGTTAATGAATATATTTGTTGTGATTTTCTGTGTTGGTGTGTTTTAGTGTGAAGCGTTCACAGCTCTTTTAGCTTTAATGGGAAAACTTCATATCTCATATTTCTAAAGGAAGAAAATCCGGAAAGAAATAACTTTAAGGGTTCGGCGTTGTTTTTATACCCCCAGTACTGCTGCTGGTACTAGGTTTATTAAGGCACTCTATTGAGATACGCTGCAGGACCAAAAGACCATGAGTATGTGGTTAATTTATGAGTGTGCAAGATGGATACGGTGCACTATTTTTCCTTGAAACAGACGATATATGAAAGGAAATTGAAAAATAAGGTCGACTTCTACTTAAGAGGAAAACAATTGAAAGTGAGACGACAAAGGGAATAATTCCAAGAGGGAAGAAGAAGAAGAAGAAGAAGAAGAAGAAGAAGAAGAAGAAGAAGAAGAAGAAAACAACGGAAGGAAAGAGAAAGGTTAGAGTACAGAGAAAGTTATCCAACAAGCGAGAAAAAAAAGGGGTTTAATTTGGACTTCATATTTCGGTAATTTCAATCTTTTCAAAATTGTTTTAAAAATAAATAAAGCTCGAACAAAACTCGAAGCGATATTCAATTTCCGAGACGTTAAATGCGAAACCTTAATCACACATGATTTCGCGTTTATTCGGGTCTTCGGGGATGAAACAAAAACACACACAAAAAAAAACAAACAACGTAACAGAAATATAAACCTATATTTTAGGCGTTAAAATAATTTGTTTTCGATTTGCAGATGCAAGACGGTAATTGAAATAAGAATATGCACAGGGGTAAACAGACATTGGAAATTACACGCACATGCGCACCACCTGTAGAAACCTGTAGAAACCTGCATTTGGTAAAATGTATATTATGAATGATGATTTGGAATTTTAAAGCCCGAGAGGCGTGGATCGCTTTGATTTGGTAAGCGTACTAGAAACGGTAGCTTAAAGACTATTATTTTACAGGATCTGAAACTGTACGAAATTCATTTTGAAATGCAGGTCGAACGGAAAATACAGATTTTGTTATTAGTGGGATTTCTTAAAATAATATCGCATACTTTGATTTGATTAAAGAAAAAATATTACCAAAGAAATATTAACCAGGGTCTGTCAAAAAGTAATACCTGTTCGAATATAAAAGGTGCAAAGGTGATTTGAGAGCACTTAATTACCTGTATATTATTCTCTTCAAACTTATAAAAAAAAATTACTTTCAGATCCTCCCATAGCAGAAAAAAAAACGCTAACATAAGCAATGAGAAGACATACAGTCAGTCTCGTAATGTAGGAACGCAAAGATTTAGAAATTCCCAATTTTATAATTGTTGCAGGATTTTTTGTATGTAAGGTTCGGGTGAATTAGGAAACCCTTGGCCGGAATGTTTCACCTGTATCAAAGAGAGAAACATTTTATACCTGATGATATTATAAGGAAATCGCAATTCATTCAACTGATTCAAAGCATGAAGGAACATGATCCCGAAAAATCAATGATGGCCATCGCTAAAGAACTTCAGATGTTGGAGTGGACTACCAGATCAGGGGAGATCAATTCATGCCTGCAAAGGCACAAGAAAACTGTTTTATCAATACCAACCGGTTAAAAAATCTCACGAACATGGCAAGCTTTGGTTCTTCACTGATGAGAGAAGCTTCGACCAAAACCAAATGTCCAACATCAGAAATATAATAGATGATATCCCCAGTGGGATGTACACTAAGCTTCCACCAAATGCTATGGTTTCAGGAATGGTGAGTAACGATGATGACAGCAAATGATGGACAATCTCCTCAAAGATGAAGAAGAGACTTGAAGTAACAAAAATGTGGTTCTACAGAAAAATCTTGAGGATAACATGGACTGAACACGTAAGCAACGAGAATGTAAAGTTATACTTAAAATCAGGAAGAAGCAGTTTTAAATTTCTGGGGCACGTAATGAGGAAGGAGGGCTTGGAAAATCTGATACTCAGAAGACAGATTGAAGGAAAGATGGAGAGCGGAAACATGAACATGGCGTATAAATGAAGAGGAACGATGCTTATGTTATCCCACCCCTCATATCATCACAGGGTGTAAGAATTAATTCTGCTGTACACGTTGAGTTGATGGAGACAGTTATTAAGCCCCGTGTAGGGGAAGTAAGGTGTAGAATATGTTACCTGTTTGCACAAAGACGCAACACCACCATATAATGCCAAGATTGGAAATCAAACAATATTTCTGATCAGGTAGTATCTGAACTTGTGGCCCCAACATCGCCAGGCTTAAATCTAAAGTTTGGAGCGTTTTTAAAAGCGGTACCCAATTAACATCATCAAAATGTATGCCTCTATTGTTAAATGTTCTAAAATATCTATTATTTGTGCAACTTCGTAACGTTTATCTTTGTACCGGCCCCTTCGCTCTGTCATCCATTCGACGAACTCGTCATAAGAGACCTATTACCCACTGTCCCTTTAGACAAGTGATTCTCAACCGCCGTGCCGCAGCACAATAATGTGCCGGGCGATCCTATAAAGTGTGCCGCGAAAAACTGATGAAATCGCGAAAAAATAACAGGCACAGTTTTCACACTAAACAAGACGCACACATAGTTGAAAAGAATCATTTAAATAAAGTAAGTTCATATTTGCAGGTATATTTTAAAAAAATCTAATGAGGAAGGAGGGCTTGGAAAATCTGATACTCACAGGACAGATTGAGGGGAAAGAGAGGCAGAGGAAACAGGGACATGGCGTATAAAGGAAGAGGAACGATGGCTATGTTATGCCACCCCTCATATCATCACAGAGTATAAGAATTAATACTGATGGACAAGTTGAGATGCTGAAGACAGTTATTAAGCCTCGTGTAGGAGAAGTAAGGCGTAGAATATGTTACCTGTTTGCACAAAGACGCAACGCCATCATATAATTTCAAGATTGGAAATGAAACAATATTTATGATGAAGTAATAACGTTTATCTTTGTACCGGCCCCTTCGCTCTGTCATCCATTCGACGAACTCGTCATAAGACGCACAAATAGTTGAATAGAAATTCAGACAAGGATCTGTAATGTTATCGGTCCTGTTCTGGCAACTCGACATTTACATTCCAGCCGACACGACATGCCTTCCCTTTTCTATAAATATTTTCCATGGCAGCTGTTCTGATGAGATTTTTTCCCCTAGTGCTTCGACTACATGAATTTATGCGTGCTACTAAATTCACAACAAGGTTTCACCGCTTGCAGGTGTATTTTTTTAAACCTACGTTTTTATTTCATAACATTTAAATGTGTGCTCGTGATATTTTCTTCATTCACTCCTGTGTGTACCGTTGCATAAAACATTAAGAAACACTTTGATATATCACGTGAGTGTAACATTTTCGAAGCCGTCTTTCCTCATTAGGTTTCCTAGAAATTCCAGATGTCTCTTTCTGATTCTAAGTAAATGTGTCCTCATTGATTACTCACTCTGTCCATAATATGCTCAGCATCCTTCGGTCTGTTTACTCCAGTCTTCTTATCTGTGAGGAAATTCTTTTTTTGGAAGGCATCCTCTGTTATTCCAGTATTCGTTGTCATATTTTTCATCCTCTAGCAAATCAGTTACCAGATAGTGATTTTCCAAGTGTAGCTTAGATGTGGCACAAGGCCGCAAATCATTTACCAGATATCTAAGCTCTGTAGATGTTTTCTTGATGTCACTATCTCCAATTCGTACTTCCCAGCTCGAACTTTTTCTCTGGCTGACAACCATAGATTGTGTACAATGGAGATACTAGACGATGATTAATCATCTCAACATATAATTAATCATCTGAAATATTCAGGCAACAATTTTAGCAGATTTGATAAATTCGATAATTTTGAAAGAATAAAACCCTCAAAAGTTTTAATGCGCAGACAATTTCGAAATTTTCTAATAAAATATTTATAAATAACTTAGCTCGACAAATATCAAAATAAAAATATCTTTGCTTACGTTCGTCATAATAATAGATGATCACATAATCGTGAAATAAGCATGTAACCCTGTTGTCAACTCTGATTATGTCAAATCTAAATTTGTTACGTTGGTACGACTGCACATGCGCATGGACGAAGGATGTTTGGAATTTTAAATTTGATTATTTTTATTTATTTTGTCTCGCCGATTTTACTTACATTCTTTTTCCTTCAGTCACTTTTATAAATAGACTAGCAGTAGAGCCCGGCGTTGCCCGGGGATGTAACAGTAAGAGATAGATCAAGTATCGACCATCATGAAGACTAAAAAATAAAATTGACAAAGATTATTGTTTAAGGTTGACGGACACGCATGTCTTAATTAGTTTTTTTGCTTTTGTTTTTGTTTTTGTTTTTTTTTTACGAATTGGTCAAACCCAAGCTCAAACAAAAATATTGTTTTCAATCGTTATGAGTCTATCGATTGGATAGAATTTTATTATAAACAATTGTCTTGTAAATGGAATTTTTAAAGCATTCTGAATGTACAAATAAAGAAAAAAGTGTGCAAGACAATAAGAAACACTACCTGCCAAAAAAAGTGAAGTTTTGTTGAAATCGGTTGAAAAATGTGGAAATCCGATCCCATATATAAACGAACACACACACACACACACACACAACCTGGGTTTTATAATAAGTATAACTCGATATGAGTTGTCCCCCTTTTATTCTGGCGACAAAATCGTGTTTTATCATGTTTTCAAATTGATTTCGTGCAAAACAATTGTGTTTTTCCAATTTTTGGCACTGTCAGAACCACCGCAAGGTAATTTTACGCAGTCCTGTGAAGTTTTGTTGAAATCGGTTGAAAAATGTAGGAAATCCGATCCAATATATAAACATACAGACACACACACACACACAAACACACGCACACACACACACACACACACACACACACACACACACACACACACACAATCTGCGTTTTATAATAAGATATCTGACACTGAGATAATAGAAGTTCTTCAAAGAATGGGTAAATGTTGTAAGAGCCCGGGCGCAAATTTACTGTAGATGCCCTTGCGATCAGGAGGCTTTCTAGACATTTACGTCTTAGTGAATTGTTTTCTTCTTTGATCAGGGTGTGTGTATTTGGGAGTATTACACACTGTAAAAAGAACCTTCAGACATTGGCGGCCATCTACATTAAAACGAAGCAACCCACACTCAACAACATTACATTTCAAACTAGTCACAATACATTACATTGCATTTAGACATTGCTTCTGTTGTAATACTTCGGTCTATCGGTTGGTATGACCTCATACAACCGCATCTTGAACTTACGATCTGCGTCTGTTATTCCGCGACCGTTATCGTTGCCCAGAAATTTTCTATGTCAAAATAGCAAAATATTAGCTTTGACGGTACCTATCATTGTTTCATGTCTTTATAACCACTCTGAGGATGGCTCATCTGAGCCGAAATCTTAGGACCAACTTAATAAAAAATATCTAAATGTTGAACAATTTTTGTCTTTATTTTCAGCATAAATTAAAGCAAACATTCGAACATTAGAAAGACATTTATTTGTTATATTTAATATGTTTAAACAATGATCTATGCCTCAATATATATATATATATATATATATATATATGGAGGGGGTTGCTGGTTATTTTAATAGTCATTAGGATAAGTGGCTTAAGGATTCAAATGTTACTGATGTTGCCAGTATTCAGACTCTCAATTTTTCCGTTGCTCGGTCTCTTACACAATAGTGGATTTCCCTACTCGTTTCCCTAATAAATCTTATCAACATGATTCCTTTCCTGTTTTGTTCCATACCTCCTCTCCTAGCTCTTGTCGAGCATCACAATACTGTCCTCTTGGAAATTCGAATCAAGCTGTAGTCTGTATTGTTATTTCTTTTCAGTCGTCTGTTCAACAGGAACCTCCTATTCACTAGAACACTTTCCGTTACCAGCATAATTAGTGGCATTCATTCTTCGATTTTATTAGATCTGATATTCTTAACCATCCTATTGAGAATTGTGCCAGTGAGATTCTTCTTCGTTAATCCAAGGAGAAACCTCACTGTCATTGATACTTTTGTACCTTTTCCGAAATAACAAGTGAAAGCACAATCCTCTCCATGGTTCGTACAGGTCTGTTCAGCTACGAGAATCGCTTTTTCCGGTTATACCAGTGTGACAGTTCCAATCACAACAGATGTATATTTGTGCCTGCACATAATAATTATAAACATATCCGCGAAGTGGCTAAGCCTTTGTTTGCTGATAGAATGAAGCACCGTATAGACTTAGAACTTTGTCTCTCGTGACTAATGGTGACAATAGTGTAATAGTGTATTAAATAAAAGTAAATACGCTATTCCTTCTTTTTAACATATTCTGCTAAAAAGCTGAGTGACGACATCGTAAATTCACTTGGAATTCTACTTTTCTGTCATTTGGAATATCCTTGCCTGATTTTTCACTTGGAACTGAATATCTCTTGAATGAAATGCATATATCTTCTTCATGGTCTCTGCTATCATCTCTAATCTGGATCCCTATAAAGCGTATAGACTTATAATCATATTGTTCTGTTTCTTACATTCAGCTCTCTTTGGATTAATGGCCTCTTTGGAATTATCCTACCAATTATCAACTTTTATTATACACACACACACACACACACACACACACACACACACACACACACACACACATATATATATATATATATATATATATATATATATATATATATATATATATATATATGTGTGTGTTCCAAAAGTGCAATATGAAAAATTATAATATATATATATATATATATATATATATATATATATATATATATTATAATTTTTTTCATATTGCACTTCCTGAAGTGCAATATTAAATGCACTGAAACGAAGTTGCATCTTTGTAGAGAGTAAATTGTTTTTTGTCAATATGAAATAAATTGACATTGTGAAGCGTTTTCTCTCGTCGGTCCATGCTGCTCTGAATTCCTCTGGTCAGTTTGAAAGTTTTATTGGATTTTTTGAGTGGGGGGGTGTCTCTGTTAAGTGTGTGTGTGTGTGTGTGTGTGTTATTTGGTTCTTAGGGAGTGAGTGAGTATGATATGTGTAAGCGTGTATATTGCTGTGCGTGGGTGTTATCATTTGGCTCATTAGGGAGTGAGTATGATGTGTGTAAGTGTGTATGTTCGTGTGGGTGTGTGTAAGAGTGTGAGCTATCAACACCTCCGTAAGCATGTCTATCTATCTATCTATCTATCTATCTATCTATCTATCTATCACAGTCTTTTCATTATCTCTGTTTCTGTTTTTCTCTCTGTTGATCTATCTATTCATCTATCTATCTATCTATCTATCTATCTATCTATCTATCTATCTCAGTCTGTTTATTATCTCTATCTCTTTCTTTTTTTCTTTCTCTCTATCTATCTGCTATCTATCTATCTTTGTCTGTTCATTATCTATCTATCTATCACAGTCTTTTCATTATCTCTGTTTCTGTTTTTCTCTCTGTTGATTGATCTATCTATCTATCTATCTATCTATCTATCTATCTCAGTCTGTTTATTATCTCTGTCTCTTTCTTTTTCTCTTTCTCTCTCTCTCTCTGTCTATCTGTTACCTATCTATCTTTGTTCATTATCTATCTATCTATCTATCAGTCTTTTCATTATCTCTGTTTCTGTCTTTCTCTCTGTTGATCTATCTATCTATCTATCTATCTATCTATCTATCTATCTATCTATCTATCTATCTATCTATCTATACATGACTCTATGTATGCGGGTGTGTAAAATATCAAAATACGACCTATTTTTTTCATAAAATTTATGGAAATTTGCTGAACAAAATCCAGCAGATTATTAAATAGCCAAGTACTTTGGGAGGTGACGGGAATGCGCCAAATTTGCAACATTTTATTCTTGAAAGTGTTTTCACCTTTCACAAAAATTAATACAAGAACTGTATAAGGCTTTTTGCGGGGCGGAGGCGGAAGCAATGTTCCTTCGGTCTGTAAATTGATACACATCACTTTCGATTTAGTTTGCCTAAAATTATAGGCAATCAGAGAAATTCACCATTTTGAAAGTGTGTCATCCATAAACTGAAGAGATTCATAACAATAATGAAGCAAATAATTCTTGACTAACTGGAGATGGCTTTTCGCCATTTTTGTTTGCCATAATAATAGTAATAACAAAATAATAATCTACTTATTCGTTAATTTAGACTATAAAAACGGTCGAGTGGTCGTCCTAGTAACTAGAACTAATAAAGTCGATTGAAGACGTGCCATTGGCTAAATATAAAATCATTACCACTCACAATGGGAGTCAGTAATTTTTGTAGTTGCAGAACGCACGAGAGACAGTTGTCGATCAAGTGGGCGCTAAGAATAACAGACGATTAACAGATAGATAGATAGATAGATAGATAGATAGATAGATAGATAGAATAAAAACTAGATAGATCGATAGTTTTAGTTTTGTAACTGAGTTATCAAAAACAAAAAATACAGTCATGCATAGATAGATAGATAGATAGATAGATAGATAGATAGATAGATAAGGAACAGACAAAGATAGATAGATAGCAGATAGATAGAGAGAGAGAGAAAGAGAAAAAGAAAGAGACAGAGATAATAAACAGACTGAGATAGATAGATAGATAGATAGATAGATAGATAGATAGATAGATCAACCGGAATTTGTTTAACATGTTCATTACCTTTTGGCATAGGGAAGCGTAATGTATAATAGAAACTAGGAAAGAGCCTATTCAGCCGGGAATGACTAACTGTTTTCGGCAAAAGCTGCTACTTGTATTTACCATAGCCTCCCCACAAGGCAGGATATGGTATAAGTCCGTTTTTTTATGTGGGGCAATTTTGAGCCCGTAAGATCGGACAAAGAATTCCGCTTAAAGACCGCATACACGGGGTCGGGTTTGTCTTGATTCCCAGACGAGACTCTGCCCGTAAGCATAGCCTCGTTTGGGTTCCTCTCTGCACGAAGGCAGATAGTTCGACAAGTCAGCAGCCAACCTGGCAGCGAACTGTCTGATTCACCAAAGGCTGCTACTCCTCTTGATGTAGCAGTATTTTTGTGTTTTTCGTTCAACGCCTGAGTCCAAACTTGTAGGGATATATTCCCACTCACGAAAAACCTCAATAGAAAATGGATAGTTATCGGGACCTCCACTATATTTCGATGCTTAAGTTCTAAAATGAATTTCTTTAAAAAGAAAAAAATCATTCTTTAAGCTTTCTTTTAGTTTTAATTGAAAGCTAAATGACTAAATTTACTATTTCCATTAAGCAAAATACTCTGATATACTTCAAATAAAATCATAGTGTTGGGAATCTTAAATCTTTGGTCGCTTTCAGGAAATCGATAAAAATCGATAAATATTGGTTATTTTAACAGATTTGTAAACAGAATTAATTCTCGGTTTTAAAAATCTTCCCAAAATAAAATCTATATTTATGATACGTTATTTGAGGAAAATTATCAAATTTAAAGTTAAATTAATCAAAGACAAATATTACTTACCTGTAGTATAAAACGTAGTATACAAGCATTTCTTAATCACAGCGTCTTGTTTTTCTGACGTGTTAATCGATTTGGGCAGCCTTAGGTGTTGAAAATCTAATTATGGTTGACCAGAAATTTACATAAATTTACGGAATCTAAGGGAACACTTTGTTTTTGGTGTTTAACTACCTGGTAATTTTCAAAAAATTACATATTTTCACCAATTATCTAATATTTTATTGAATGTTAGTTATATACTTATTTATGGACTTACCTTTTTATCAAAATAACTCACAAAAAAGAATAAACATAAAAAAGGTAAAAAGTAAAAAGCTACAAAAAATATTACTTAACTGAAGTATGACCTCACTAAAATAAAAAATAAAAAAATGGAAAATTTAAGGAAATAGTAATTCAAAGAATAAAAATTGCTTTAAATTTGAAATTTTAAAACTTTGAAGGGATAATTGGCAAAGCCTGTTGTTATGTAAACACACGATGAAGCACAGAAATGAAAATGAAAGAATTGCAGACGGCCAGATTTTTAAGGGAGGACAACTCTTAAAACACGTGACGGACAGCCATACTTAGAAATATGGGAATATTTCTACACTAACAAAAAATTAAAAAAATATTTTTAAAATACAGAGGTAAACGACTTTTATTAAGCTTTTCAATTTTTGATTCTTAAATATGGTTTTCACTTAATACCAATATCACCTACCCGAATTGATATAGTGTAGAATTTTAAACGATTTAAATTATTATAATAAAAAATTTAAAATGAAAACAATTGTTGTAAAAATTCATTATTCATCGAAATTTATTTTTTCTTAATAAATCTTATTTATAAAATTAATTAAAATCTTTTCTAATTTAATAATGTCATAGTTTTATTGCATTTTTATTTTACCATTCAGAGCAGATTTTTGGCAATGGGGAGTCCTGAAACTGATGATTTAAATTCTCCAAGGAGTTCAGCATTTGAGGCTGCAATTTAATTTCTCGTAATTACATGAAATTAAGTTAGTGTGTGCGTTTAATATACGTAAAAAAATATTTTTAGAAAGATTTCCTAAAAACAAAGATTTCCAAAATTATTTCGTTCATTTGTGAAGAAGTTCTGAAAGTTTCATTAAAATCCGACAAAGAATTTCCAAATCAATGTATTTTTCACCTAAGATAAACAGCAAGAACTCGAAAATTGTTAGAAACCGGAAATATTATGTCGACCATTGACGAAAAAAAAACCCAAAAAAACCAAAATGCAAAAAAAAAAAAAACAATACTTTTAAAAAAAATTTCGAACGTCCTACAAAGGATTAAGAAATTTAATAAAATATTAAAAAAGGTATTTGGTCATTTCTCTTAATAATAACATAAACATTTTGACGATAAAACTTCGTTTTTAAGTTTGGGTCCTTTTTACATCATGCTATCTTGTTATTTCAGAGAACAAGTGGAGTTATGTAATTATTATTTATTGTAAAATATATCCAACAGCATAAAAAAAATAGACAGATAGAAACAGACAAATAAGAAAATACTGAGAAAAAATTAGATAGATAGATAGATAGATAGATAGATAGATAGATAGATAGATAGATAGATAAAGAGAGAGAAAGAGAGTGAAAGTAACGAGGAAATGAAAAGAAAGGACGCATAAAGAGAATAGAGGTCGAAAGTAACAGAGACAGAAATTGAGAAAAAACGATTAAAAGAGAAAGAACGAGATAAATAGATAGATAGATATTAACAGAATGAGATAGACATGAACTGATCGAGATAGATAGATAGATAGATAGATAGATAGATAGATAGATAGATTGAGATAGACAGATCGAGATTGAGATAGACAGATCGAAAAAAGAAAAGAGAGAGATCACTAGAGATCACTTTGGAGAAATAGATAGATATATATAGAGAGATAAATGGATAGATCACTGTGAATAGATAGATAGATGTGGACAGACTGAGATAGACACACAAAGAGTGAAAGAGAAATCACTTTGAACAGATAGATAGATAGATAGATAGATAGATAGATAGATAGATAGATAGATAGAAAAAAAAAAAGAGAAAGATCACTTCGAACAAATAGATAGAGTGATAAATAGATCACTGTGAATAGATAGATAGATGTGGACAGACTGAGACAGACAGAAGGAGAGAAAAAGAAAAAGAGAGATCACTTGGAACAGATAGATAGATAGATAGATAGATAGATAGATAGATAGATAGATAGATAGATAAAATACCGAGATAGATAGAGGGATAGATTAATTACGCAAAAATGAAAATAACACCGTCATCTCATTTAAACAGATATATCTACCAAAATTACACAAAAATATCTTGAAATACTAAACAGTAAATTTATTCAATAAAATCATCATTGGCTTCAGCCATGGCCTTCAGACGACTTCGGAATCTACTGCAACTCTTCTGAACGGTTACCTTGCTTAATTTGGTGAATGATGAATAATCCTTGCCTTCAGTTAATCTTTGTTGTTGCAAGGAGTTTGTCGGTCTCTCTCTCAGCGGCGACCCACAAATAATAATTGATGTGGTTGTAGACCAGCGAGTTAGGTGGCCAGATGTAAGGGGTGATGTGATCGCAGAAATTGTCTGACAGACATGAATGAGTTCTCTCTTTTCTGTAGCATTGTGCAGAGTCCTGTTGCCAGACATAGGGTCTTCCAGTAGCTACCCTCTAAATCCTGGGCAGCACTACCACCTCGTTACACTGATATAGGCCTTCGAGCTGATTCTGAGGCCCTGTGAGAAGATGATTGAGGGCATAGCGTTCTCATCCCTAATGATCACTCCAAAAAACCTTCATAATCATCATTAGACTCTTCGAAATCTGTCTGAATCCTTTGCACTGTCCTGTGACATTTGGAAAAGATGCATTTTTATGATTTCTGCGAAGAATGAAGGAGACAAACTGAAAAAAGTTTGAAGAAACGTATTTAATAATCATTTAGTTGGAATATCTATCTATCTATCTATCTATATATATATATATATATATATATATATATATATATAGAGAGAGAGAGAGAGAGATAGATAGATAGATAGATAGATAGATAGATAGATAGATAGATAGATAGATAGATAGATAGATAGATAGATAGATAAACCCTCTGAAATGTTCGTATTGGAGCTCCCAGGGTGAAAGCCAAGCAGTACATCATGCCGTTTACAAATTTCTCGCAGAGTAAATTGCGTCATGTTACTCTTTTACTTACAGATGGTGCCCAACTGACCCAACTATACTGTGCAATCGACAGATTCAAAAAGAAACAACGCGCATGCGCGAATTTTAAAATATTAAATGGTGGCAATTTACCCATAGAGAGATAGATAACCTACTTAGATAGATAGATCAAATACCGAGATAGATACATAACTAGATAGATCAAATAGGATAATATATATATATATATATATATATATATATATATATATATATATATATATATATATATATAGGTAACTACACTCGTCTCGGAAAATGTCAGTTTCTTGATTTGCTAATGATCAAATCAATTTCGAAGGAAAAAAATGTTTTAAAAAAGAAAATGCTATGAACATGAACGTCTGTCGAAAATAATCGTACAGCCTAGAGGTCCAAAGCCCTGATACGAGTACTCAACTAACTAAAAAGTTCTCAATACAAAAGTAGAGCAGACCTAGTCAAACCTAGAGACCCAGACAAACCTCCCAAGATTTCACCTACGCGGATCGTCAGGAAAGCTATATATATATATATATATATATATATATATATATATATATATATATATATATATAACGTCATCCACAGACAGACTGTTTTGCTGTTTCACAGTTCATCAGTGTGGCTAGACATCCGGTTGCCTCTAGCTAGGATCGAAACCCGACTGAATTGGTGTCAGTCGGAGATGATAGATAGAGAGACAGAATTCCGAAATTGATACTTAGATCAAACTCCGTGATAGATAGATAGATAGATAGATAGATAGATAGATAGATAGATAGACAGAATACCAAGATAGATAGATATATAACTAAAATTCTGTTATATAGGAATAAAATGTCGCTGCCGACACTTAAGTTTTGATCGGCAGCGAGCAAACATAGGTGATCGCATTATTGAATAAAGTAGATCACGTGATCATAGAGGGAACGCATATATCGCAAGTCGCGTGACGTCTAGATTGATCGCCATTCTAGTTTATCCCTTATACTATTCGGGTCGTTATTTCTATTCTATCCTCTATTACTATCCGGGCCGCTATTCTCTACTCTATTAACTATACTATTTCTCTATTCGGATCACTATACGGATTACTTTTCGAGCGGGTATTATCGAGCAAGTACTATTAGTGCGAGTGATATCCGAAGGCGTCTGACACCAGTATTGTTCAACGGCGCTAGTATAATTGTATCTGCGATTACAAAGTCTCTACTACAACGAGCATTACGAAAGTGACAAGGAGTATCCGTTGACATCACAAAAGGGGCAAGAGTGTTCATTGACATCAATAAAATACATAGATAGATAGATAGATAGAATACCAAGATAGAAACAGATATTGTTCAACAACGTTACTATAATTGTATCTGCAATTACAAAGTCTCTACTACAACGAGCATTACGAATGTGACAAGGAGTATCCGTTGACATCACAGAAGTGGCAACGAGTGTTCGTTGACATCAATAAAATATCGAGATAGCTAGATAAATAGAATACCTAGATAGAAAGATAGATAAACTGATAGAAAAAGAGATAGATAGAATACCACGATACATACATAGATAGATATAGATAGGTATATACATAGATATAGAGATTCTACCTAAATGATTATTAATTTTGATACCTGTTTATTCCAAATCGATTTTTTCAAATTTTTTTCAGATTGTTTCATTCATTCTTGGCAGAAATCTTAAAAATGCATATTTTCCAAATTGATATTTTGATATTACAATTCATTACCTTTATTTTCTCGCACGTAAATATGTTTGGCCCCGATTTTGGTTTGTTTTTTACTAAGCGTTTTGTTTCTTTCTGTCCTTCTTTTGCTATCTTCGGTTTTTATTTGTTTTATTAATTTTCCTTGTTGCTCCAAACTGTAGAGTTAATATTATTCGCTTCGTCATTCGATTATTAATGAATAACGCCGCTGTAATAATAATAATAATAATAATAATCTCGAAGATGTGGCATATGGGAACATCAACAATCCCTGTTGTAGTTGGAGCCCTAGGATTGGTTGAAAAAGATTGCAGTAGAATAATTGAAGGGGTTCCTGGAAGTCCATGCCTCAAGGTGATACAAAAAATTGTTCTTACAAGTAAATCCCACACTTTACGAAGGGCTTTATCTATGTAATTTTTTTTTTTTTTTGTCAGTGGAAAGTGTCATGATGCCATTTCTAACCTTAGGTCCCTGGGCGGGACCCGGAAAGAAATGTGTAAACGCCAGAAATCAAAGAAAATAAAAATAATAATAATAATATTTTCTCATAGCCGACAGGTTAGTATATTTGCTTTCTGGTCGTGAAACCCGGTTACCGTGGTCAAATCGATCATAGTAAACAGTCAGAGGTGTTGCTTCTTAATAATGTAAGTCTTGGGAAGAGCACCATATTGAAACCATATTGTTTAATCCAAGGCCTGAAAACCATATTGTTTAATCCAAGGCCTGAAAACCATATTGTTTAATCCAAGGCCTGTCAGTGAAATCGGGAAGACGAAATCCTCCAGAAGCTTTCGATAGTTGTGATTGCACCAAGTCACAAGCCATCAGGACCGCGGGTTTGAGCGGACTGGCCTTGTTAAAAAAAAAAAAAAGAAAAAGAAAAAGAAGAAAAAGAAAAAAAAAAGGTCGCATTAGCGCATGCGCTCTCTTCCCGAAACTTTAACTAGTAACATTGACGAGAGATCTGGAGCACTTCGACGTGATGTAATGGTCAGCAAACATGTCTCGCTAAATCAATTACGTCGGAATAGTGAATTCGTTCCTCACTGGGTGCCCCATACTTTCGGCAGTGTGCCGCCTCTAAGCTACGCTTACAAAAAAAAAAAAAAAAAATTCGGCACTTCGACGAAGTGTAATGGACAGTAAGCCTGTCTCGCTCGATCAGTTACGATTGGGTAGTGAGTTCGATCCTCTCTGGGTGCCCCAATACTTTCGACTTTGTGCTATATCTAAAAGACTGGAAATAAAGTGAAGCAAATGCCTTCAACCCCCACCGTCAGTCTTCTTATAACTCTGTTTCTAAAGACAGTTATTGTCTAAATAACCCCGATTCTTTTCCTTGTTGCCAGCAACCATTTTCCCTCGACTCTTCGGTTCTGTTTTACGTTAAACAACGACTTCATCTACTTAACAAAGTCCAGATCCTTATCTGTTTTTCTACTCTTTTCCCGACCGCTCTACGATCTGTCGTAACATTAAAATCCACTATTTGGCACGGTTTCTTATGCTTAATGATGGCTATAGGATTCGGTATTTTGACCTGAATTAGGTGATTTACTTAAATCTCAAAATCCTACAAGGTAAAGTGTTTTCAGCTGAATTGGGTGATTTGACCAAGTCTCAAAATTACATTAAATGCTGTATTTTGACATGAATCGGGGGATTTGTTTAAATCTAAATGTTCCATTGTAGTGAGTCGGAGAAATGGCTTCGTTATCTTCAAGTCCTGGGTATGACGATAAACTACATCCGGCAACAATGCTGCCGATTGAGAGATTTGGCGGTTTTGAGGACCATGGAAGCACCTCTTAATTGCTGTTGTTACAAGGTCCACATTGACTCGCGGTGGTAGCATCTGTTAGGGTCTCAGCTATGGGCAAATACTGAATCCACAAACAAAAGAAAAAAACACTTTGAAAATATAAAAATACATTTTATAGTAAAAATTTCAGTAATACATTTTTATATAATAAAATTACGAAGAATAACTTTTTGTAATTGAATTACCAATAATACACCTATTTATAGTAAAACTAACAACAATAAAGTTTGAAATGAAATTAACCAGTAACAGATTTTAGAGGTACCAACAATACATCTTATAGTAAAATGACCAACAATATATTTTATCTGTAGTTGACGGCATACAATTTGGATCAAAATCAAAATGAAAAGAAAAAGATTTTATTGCAGAATACCGTTGTTACACTTTGATATGGACGTAAATCAAGCGCTCGCTACTGGAGATAATCAACTTTCGTCAGAATCGATTTCGATTAACGTTTCTGGAACATTACCGCGACTCAAGGACTACCTGTATACGCCACACACACACACACATACATATATATATATATATTTATATATTCTAGAAAGAAAATTCGGATTGCCAACACACAAACAGAATGTCTCATATCGAGAATATTCCACATCGAACATGAAGAAAAATTAATTATTTTTAATAATATGTAAAAATCTCCACTTTCACCTGAAGACGGTTGCGAGACCAGACCAGAAACACGTGTCGTGAAATTATGTAAAACAAAGTATAATATTTTTTTTCAATAAATCCACATTACAACCAAAAACGTTTGCGGCACCCCTCTTCTTTTTAATATACATACTTTTCTCTCGTTGGAACCACTACAACATATTTCTTTTATATATATATATATATATATATATATATATATATATATATATATATATATATTGAAAATAAAAAAATAAATAAAAAAATCTTTAGACACACTGGGTTGTAGATTAATATTTTTTCGTTTTTTTATTATTATTCCATTTAGATTATATATATATATATATATATATATATATATATATATATATATATATGTGTGTGTGTGTGTGTGTGAGAGAGAGAGAGAGCAGGCATATGCATAAATATGTATCACTGATAAAAGTCAGTATTTCTCTGACCAATTTTGTTATTAGCCAGATGTGGCTATTAATGTATTTTCCAAAAGCCGTCTTGTGTGACAATAGCAGCAATTAT